ACACATTTTTAAAAATGCTCTCATTTTCCTCTATTAAAAATGAGCCGATGGAGGACTAAAAGTATGGAGGACTGTACGTGCCACTTAAAATAAAATGAAGAAATCAATCACCAATGTATTAATTAAAAAATTAAAATCAATAGATAGATAAATCTTAGATGAATCATGTTTCAAATTATGACATATTTTAAACAGTTTATTTCATTAATGTAAAAAAATGTAGTTAAATGTAACAAATAATATAAATCATTTTAAATGCAATCTAACCTGGAAGTTAACATTACTCTAGTCTCAGCCTCAGACATCACATTCATGGAACGTTGTCTGAATGTCCGATGAATAAGGCGCACAAAATGGGAAACACTTTGGGAGTTCTTCAAGTCGTCATCCGATTGGTTAAATTCTACAGGATTTCCACATTCTTTAATGGTCCGTCTGGAAACAAAACCATTGTGACTTCAAACCCCCTTATGGAAGTTTACAACTGTGACATTTTCCCTAAAGGTTTGAGTTAGAATAGTTTCCAAGAGTGCGATTTTAAGCACATTGAGGCTGTAAAAGCAGACTATTGAGTAGACATGCTTTCCTGTTTAGTGTGATGGTGCCAAATGTCCCGAAAGCCTCTGTAGACTCATTTAGCCACTTGTTAGCAACTGCCATTTTCAAGACAAGTAAAAGCTTTAAAAATGTCACGAGGGGGTATTACTGGTGTATTGTATGTCGTAGAATAGCACAGGAAAATATTTTGAGCTTGTGTTCACCGCAGACCTTATTTGAGGCATTAAAACAAAAACCTGTTCAGCATTTGCCAACAAAAATACATAATCCCATAAAAAATGTATTATTGAGATGATTTAACATTTTAAACATGAATTAAATGTAAAAGGTCTGCTTTTTTAAAAGTGAAAGGTCATTTTAATTTATATATTTTATTATTATTTAGATTTTATTTTTAAGTGGCACTCATAGTCCTCTAAGTGATCTGACACTGTGAAAAAAAAATCACTATCCCCCTATCACTCTCAATTTCAGCTGAAGTACTCGTGTATTTACTGCGGACCAGGCTTATACATTTTCTAACTGCTCAGTTTTGCCTCTGGCTGAAGCCACCCCCTCATTTTCCCTTTTAAATATCAGCTCAAACACAAATGGCTTTGTTCTTCAGACTTGTTTTTTTTTTCCCCCTCAGGCATGTAGTGTGATCATGCTGTAAACTGCACCGCTGATCATGACTCTCAGCAGTCCCACCCTAAATATGTGGCCTTTTCAAAGTCCCTACTGTGTTTTGGTACAAGTGTCAAATAATATAGAAAATATTATGTGTAGCCCTTTTGTTTTGGACATGTGCTGAACAATGTATAGGTTAACCAACAGTTCAAGCATCCATATTCACTTACCAAAAGCTGTCCTGTGAGTACTTGTAGTTCTCAGACCACCATGTTATGGACACCAGAACTGATACTGATTACTTCTGATTGCTCTTCACATCAGTCGTTCCTTAGATTGACCTCAGGGACTTCTTTCCGGAGCCCGCAAGGTGCTAGAGACCATCCTCGGGCTGAGGAATCAAGCCTGCTCCACAGAGAGGAAGAATGAGCCGTCATTCACTTGCCTTTAATGTTGCATAGAGTTTGTTTCTTCACTCAGTTTAAGTGCACTTGCGACACTGTGCCTTGCATTGTCCTATGCAGTAGTTTATATACTGTAATGCTAATGAGAAGACCAGTTTTCAGTCGCTGGTTGAAAGAGCTATAACTTGAACTCAACTGTAAACTTATATTTAATATTTTTAATGTTTTTTTTCCCCTTTAAATTTCATGTATTGATTTACATGCTTAAGAAACATGACAGCTTTATTTGCCAAAACTAAAAATGTGTTGTAAATATACACAGAGTGATTAAAGCTTGTGATAAAACTTTAGAATTGTCTTTGAAATATTCATTCATGAAAGTACTCAAGTTTTTCCAATACCTGCGGTCCACCGTCATGCCATAAACTGCTTTTGTGAAGCAACATCCTATCGACTAATATTGCTTGCCGTTAAATATTCGTTCTGGATTTATGTCTTTTTTCAATTAAGTCTAGGTTATTCGCAACTAAAAGGTGAAATGCTTCTGGTGACATCCAGGTTATTTTACCTGTACAAAACAGTCCGTTGTGCTAGTTTATATTGTTGTAATATTATTTTAATGTATTAAAATAATCATAAATCACACTGCTTGGTAGCGCAGATAGTTTTACCGTTTACTCCACTTCTAGTTATCTATTTAAAGCAGCTAATAAATAGGAAATCTCGCTCATTCAAATGAAATGGCTTACTTCCGCGTAGCAAAATGAAGTGCTGAAGTTGACATCTCCACATAAGAACAACATCTTTGGTCTACATGGCTACTTAACAGGTGTGCTTGTGAACCTTTGGCTTTGGTAACGTTAACTTTTAAAATTGTGTGCAAAACAATGTCCCACCCTGTTACATACAAACAGTACTTAAATTCACCATGAATAGTTAGTAATAGCCAACTAATAGTTGGTATGTGACTACTTTGAAAGCGGCAATCGTGTCTCTTTTGATAATGGATGATAACAGTGCTCTACTCTCCTCCAGGTTATGTTAGTAATGGCTGAAGAAGCGGCGAGACCAAGCAAGTAATCATCAGTGTAGTTTTCATAATAATCACTACACGTTTGCTTGTTGCAGATTTGCAGTGTACTTGTCTGTTTTAAACTTGCTGTAAAACGGTGAGACAGGACACCAAAAACCAGGACGTCTGGTCATCCTAATGTAAATCACTGGCATTTATAGACTGTGCTTAGCCACAAGTACAAGATGAAAGCATTACAATTATAAATGGGTCCCTCACATCCGACAAATTACGATTTTTCACGTATGCATTGTGTACAGTTTCTGTAGTCAAGCTTGATTTTGTCTTTAACATAATTTAAAATCTGTCATAATTTACTCACCCTAAAATGACATTCCAAACCTGTATGAATTTCTTTCTTCTGTTTAACACAAAATAAGATGTTTTGGGTAATCAAAGTTGTTGGTATCCATTGACCTTCATATTACTTTTTTTCCATACTATGGAAATCAATGCCTACCGTCAACTGTTTGATTACCCCAAATATCTTCTTTGGTGTTTAACAGAAAAAAATTAATTCATACAGGTTTGGAATGACATAAGGGTGAGTAAATGACAACAGAAAATACATAAAATATCATATCTTTAAGACTAATTATTACCAAGACTACCAACTACCATACTCCTATTTATTCACCATATTAAATAGATGAAATAATACATATAAATATATCAAGCCAACTTTTGTGCAACAGAGTGAAACCTTATTTTGTATCAGTTGCTTAAAAAAAAAACCCTGTCCCTCTCATTGCTGTAATAAATTCTATCCATTGACCTTCATGTTACTTTTTTTCCATACTATGGAAATCAATGCCTACCGTCAACTGTTTGATTACCCCAAATATCTTCTTTGGTGTTTAACAGAAAAAATTAATTCATACAGGTTTGGAATGACATAAGGGTGAGTAAATGACAACAGAAAATACATAAAATATCATATCTTTAAGACTAATTATTACCAAGACTACCAACTACCATACTCCTATTTATTCACCATATTAAATAGATGAAATAATACATATAAATATATCAAGCCAACTTTTGTGCAACAGAGTGAAACCTTATTTTGTATCAGTTGCTTAAAAAAAAAACCCTGTCCCTCTCATTGCTGTAATAAATTCATTTTTTACTTGAGCAGTTGAAATGAGCCTTCTGCCACCTACTGGATTTAAACAGCACATTAATGCTCTTATTAATTTAACCTAAGCCTTCCTATTTTCTTCGATCAAACTGTACTTTTGTATACTCTAATAATAATAATAATAATAATAATAGGCAAAGATGATACTAAGCCTCATGGGTTAATCAGATCAAACTGATACAGATGTAGTTCTGAAAAAAAATATTACACTGAAACTTACAAAAACAAGAAAAACAAAGCAGGCAGGTTTATCACAAAAAAAACTGATTTATTTAATATCTCTTTCTTTTTAAAATAATTAGATTTATTCTATTCATCAAACCCTTTCTTTTGAATTTTTTTTTTACATATCAAACTTGGGCCATAATAAAACACACAATGAGCTTGGGAGAGTTAAAACAAGGAAGAGAGAAAGAGAGACACGTGATAAAGCCAAAAAAATAAAATATAATAAAATACATCCTCCTCACATGTAAAATCCACAACCACGATTGTTGAGACTTCAAATAAAAGAAGAGAAGGGGCTGAAGTCCCACGAGAACAACTAATGAGCTAGAACTCCAAGTGCTTTTTAGTTCTAACTTGCCCTGGCGGCTGGTATTTCAGAAGAGAGATTATGACCTACCGGATCAGCGTTTACCTACACAGGCCCTAAAAACCCCCCCATAAGCAGGATTTCATTTCAAACACTCCATGAAAAGAAAGAAAAACCTTGTCTCGCTCAGCTCGGTCATGTAGACGACATCCACCCACCCTGAAATCAAAACGAACAGAGCCGAGCAGTGGAAATCTGGCCAGCCCATGAGAAGCAGTCCAGAATATTCTTTACGAAAAATATATATCACTTAACAGTTTTAAAAACACTGGATGAGCTCTGAACACTGCGTGCCACTGAAACAAGTCCTTGCTAGTGTCGGAGAAACCGAGATTGACGTACTCTTGGTAACTACTGAATTTCCACATTGGAATTCCCAAGAGTCTCCACAGCAGACAGCATGAAACTATGACCAGATCATTACCTGGTTCACAAGTTAAAAAAAATAAAGGTCCTCAGAGAGGTTTGTCCTCTTTATTGAGCGAAGATAACCACCGTAGCCGACTGCGGCCCATCTCGCACCGTTATGGATACCTGTCCATACTGTACAGTAAAGGACTGGGCCGATCATCCTGTAAAAGAAAAAAAATGCACACCACAGAGAGGATGTTCAATGTTTGCTTTTTTCTCTCCACTCCTGTTTTCCTTATATTCACGTCATGGGTTTATGGTTTGTGTCCCCTGAGTCAGGGGAGTCAAATTATGTCTAGATGGAAAAGTCTCTCTTCATAAGGAACAAAAAAAATAAAAAAGACGTGGTGGCCACGGGATCCTCACATAAGACATCTTTAATTGCAGGGTGAGCACAGATCCCAAAGTCCCAGGGCACTTCCTTGAGAACAATATACTGACATGGAGACGCTGAACAATTTCTGAACTGAAAAGGTTTTTTAAAATATATCCTTTGACCATAGTTGATTATCATTTTACCATATTTTTTACAACAAGGAGTGCACATTAAGTCTCTCTTCAAATTTTCTGTTTTTTCTTCTTCCTTTCAGTGTAGTAGTATGATACAGGAAAGAGGGAGAGGATTATTTACAGTGCTGTTGAAAGGGAGGAAATGAACGAGGGAGTGTGCGGTAAAGTACGCAGCATGAGAAGCAAATAGGGGACAGGGTCCCTGTGGCAGAGTAAAAAGGGATTGTTGGGGCCACACAGAAGGGCGGAAACGAGGTCCGTGTTAGGTGGGAATGACGCCGTCACTGTTCTGGATGCCCCGTCTGAGCTCCAGCTCCTCCAGCATCCTCCATAGGTCCTCACGCTCCTTGTCCTTCTTCCTTTCCCTGAAGGAAAGATAGGTAGAGGTTAACTGAGCCGCTCTGTAAACTGCAGGAGTTTACAACACTGCATTGTTTGTTTCTTACCTTTGCCTGTCTGATTTGTAATTGGCGGCGAGTTCGTCAAACAAGGCGCTGTTCATCTCCATGAATGCTTTGAGCACATTGTAGATCAAAGCAGATATTGCCCTGATGGTGGAGGAAAGCAAACACGATGAACATCAAACCACAGGAATGTGTGCAAAGAGTCAATACCAGTTACAACTAGATCATGCTTATTATCGATCAGACCTGATCAAAAGTTTAATAACAATATATACTTTAAAAAGTGATTTTTTTTCTCAGTAGGGCTATATTCTATATATAATTGATCAAAAATGACAGCAAATACATTTATAATGTCACAGAAGATTTCTATTTCAAATAATTGCTTTTCATTTGAGATTTCTATTCAAAGTATCCTGGAAAAAAAAAATCTATTATGATTTCCATAAACAATAACACAACTGTTTTCATCATTGATAATGTTTAAACTTTTGTGTTTGTGCGTGTTGGTGAATTGTATGCGTACAATTATTATGATATGTACGATATGATATTCTCCTGCCAGGATGCTGTTGTAAATGAGAATTAGTTCTTAAGCGACTTGCCTCGTTAAACAAAGGTTAAGAAGAAACACCGATTCAATCAGCATATTAGTATGATTTCTGAAGGATCATGTGACTGGAGTAATGATGCTGAGAAAAGTCTCTCTTCATAAAGAACATAAAAAATAAAAAAGACGTGGTGGCCACGGGATCCTCACATAAGACATCTTTAATTGCAGGGTGAGCACAGATCCCAAAGTCCCAGGGCACTTCCTTGAGAACAATATACTGACATGGAGACGCTGAACAATTTCTGAACTGAAAAGGTTTTTTAAAATATATCCTTTGACCATAGTTGATTATCATTTTACCATATTTTTTACAACAAGGAGTGCACATTAAGTCTCTCTTCAAATTTTCTGTTTTTTCTTCTTCCTTTCAGTGTAGTAGTATGATACAGGAAAGAGGGAGAGGATTATTTACAGTGCTGTTGAAAGGGAGGAAATGAACGAGGGAGTGTGCGGTAAAGTACGCAGCATGAGAAGCAAATAGGGGACAGGGTCCCTGTGGCAGAGTAAAAAGGGATTGTTGGGGCCACACAGAAGGGCGGAAACGAGGTCCGTGTTAGGTGGGAATGACGCCGTCACTGTTCTGGATGCCCCGTCTGAGCTCCAGCTCCTCCAGCATCCTCCATAGGTCCTCACGCTCCTTGTCCTTCTTCCTTTCCCTGAAGGAAAGATAGGTAGAGGTTAACTGAGCCGCTCTGTAAACTGCAGGAGTTTACAACACTGCATTGTTTGTTTCTTACCTTTGCCTGTCTGATTTGTAATTGGCGGCGAGTTCGTCAAACAAGGCGCTGTTCATCTCCATGAATGCTTTGAGCACATTGTAGATCAAAGCAGATATTGCCCTGATGGTGGAGGAAAGCAAACACGATGAACATCAAACCACAGGAATGTGTGCAAAGAGTCAATACCAGTTACAACTAGATCATGCTTATTATCGATCAGACCTTAATTGAACCATGGCCTAGTCCTGGCTTAAGCTAAGCCTCATCTGTGAAACCGGGCCATTATGTTTTGGTAGAAGTTGCAACAATTAAAGAGTTTAATTCTGAGATCAAGTCACAAAAATGGACAATGGATTAACTTAACTTTTCATAAAATTAAGGCATTACCTCTTTTTGACTGCATGTTTTTGGCCAAAACTTCAACAAGCCTCTGATAACCTACAAAAAAAACAAAACAATGAAGCCAACTAGTGAAAATCCTTTAGAAACAATATGGAACTTGATTAAGAATGAGGAAGATAATGGTGAAAAGCAACACTTACAGGTTCTGTTAACGTGGGATCTTTCTCTAGGAACTGTACAATACAATAGGCCAACTAGAAGAAGAGATCACTTCAGATTAACATAAATGCATTTCAAATGTTTAGATCCATAAACTGTCATAAACAAGCATGGAAACAAGGAATCTGTTTCTTCTGCCCCTGAAATGTAAGCGAGCAAACACACATGTGTACAAGTAACAAACAGTTGAGTGTCTGTACCTGGGCATGGAAGAGAGACAAGCTCCTCACTGTGTGCAGAGGCAGCAGCACTTTCACCAGGAACTGTTTGTGCTCAGCTTTGAGAGGAAGCGCAAAACCATTGATGATGCTGTAAAACCAGAGATGTGTGAGACTTTTGATCTGACATTGATAACCACGAAAGAAACTGATAATATACAGGGGACACAAACTTCTAAATGCCTCAGGACTGAGGACAGGGTGGAGTAAAATAAAACAAGAATGTGACCTCTGTGGGTCACCCTTCATGTCTTTCCAAACTCTTTATTTCCTGATTTAAATTTCTCCACATCACTACCAACCAAAAATGGGTCCTAAAATATGACATACCTTCCCAAAATCTCCAGCAGTTCAGCTACGCCATTGAAGTGCTCTGTCTCATATACAAAACTGTCAGGGCAGGAGAGGAGAGGGAAAAATTTAAATAAAAAGATATATCAGCATAACTTAATATTTCATCTAGTATATTCGCAACAAAAACACCTGACAGTTACTTACCAAAGAAAAATGTTGTTGATTTGTTTGCGGATGAAGGCCCTGAGGCCGAGGAACTTTCCGTAGATTCTGTGCAGAACTGTCTTCAGGCAGTCCCTCTCTCGTGGGTCCTCGCTATCAAACAGCTCCAAGAGCTAGAAGTTCACAAGAGGAGTTTTATTAACTATATTAGCAATGTGTACCACTCTAAAAAAAAAGACATATTACCTTTCTTAATACATTGACTCTTATCATTGACAAAAGTTAACTGTACAGTTTAGTGGTAATTATACAAAAAAATATTTGAAAGAAAAAATGCCACTACTGACCAATCAGAATCAAGTATTCAGACAGCTATATCTGTGCTGTTTTACTGGCAATACTGGCTTCATTGGACAATCACTCACCTGTAATACAAATTTCTGGTCGATGTATTTTTTGGCAACGCTGGGCTGAAATTCCTGACTTTCCAAGAAGCGAATGAAGAACTCATAAACGAGCTTAAACATAAAAGGAAGAGAGAGATCAGAAAAACTTGTCGTTGAAATAAAACCTTGCAATTATTTCAAACTTGTTTGATTTTTTAAAAAACATTTTAGACCTTTGTCTGTTTCTATATGCATTACATTTTTAAAAAGGTGATTAAAGGGTTAATTCACCCAAAAATGAACATTAGTCCATGTTTTACTCACCCTCAAGGCATCCCTCAAGGTGCATATGACTTTCTTCTTTCAGACTAATTCAAATCGGAGTATTATTAAAAATTGTCCTGGCTCTTCCAAGCGTTAGAATGGGGTTAGGTGGGTGTTTTTGTTCAACAATCCCAAAGTAGTTCAATAAAGAGCATACATCCATAATAAAACGTGCCTCACGCGGCTCCGGGGGGTGAATAAAGGCTTCCTGTAGAGGATTGATGCATTTTTGTAAGAAAATTATCCATATTTAAAATGATATAAACACCTTTTTCTCACTTCTCCTAACTGTCGTAGGCGGACGCCGTTCCGGGTGGATGACATAAGACGTATGCGTAGCGTACGCGGCGGTGATTAGTGACGTAACGTAAAACATAACGCCGGTCACGAATTAGAAGCACAAAATGAGGATTTGTAAAGAAAAATGTGGGAGGATTTCGATATAAGCCAAGAGGAGACTGGTTTTCCTTTGGTAAAGTAAGGAAACTTTGCTTCTGTAAACAAACATTGGTTTTCGTGAGACTCACGCGCATGCACTACGCCTACGTCATCAGCCGGAAAAGCAGTCTCTCGTGAACGTGTGTACGACAGTTGGCGGTAGTGGTGGGCAGAGCGAGGCTTCATGAAACACTGAAACAGTCGAAGCAAATGTGCCGAGGCTTTGAAACAATTCGACACCCGCCCCTACGGTGACACCTAGTGGTCATTTTCAAGTATTGCTCTGAAATAGACAACGAATCAGTTAAGCGAAGTGACGAATTATAACGTATATGTTGTGCCCGTCAAACTGCCATGTGGGTTGGGGGAGTGGTTAGTGTGCACGATTGGCATGTTGTCAGAACCTGTCACTTTAGGTTCGAACCCCGGATATACAAGCAAGTTTATAATTATAATAAATATTTGAAAGTTGTGTTTTTATTGTTCTGTTCTTGTAATGTGTTGTAACATCTCTCCGACAACTGAATGAACTCTTTGTGAATGTTATTTTGGTCATGAAAAAATTAACAATAAAAGACATCAAGCCACAACACCTGGCATTTTTTACATATAAAGATTTTTATTAAAATATATTAACTGTTCTGCTGCATTAACTCCACTTTTATACTTTTTTTATTCCACTTTTATACTTTGCGGGAGTTAGGTTAAGACAGTGTGTGTGTGCGATTGTGTGGTTTGTTCCCGACCCTGTCGATCAAAAGCAGATTCGGGGCTCGAAACACTTGTGAAACGCCCCGATGTTTTGATTCGCCTTAGTCACGTGACATGTAGGGCTGGGTAAAAAAAACATAGATATCTCGCTATTAATCGATTCTCATTTTTACGGAACGATATCGATTCTTAAATCCCAAGAATCGATTAGTATAGCCTGTTTTTAGTTAATGGACGAAACATTGAAGGGTAATTCTCATCCAATAAATCGCAATAAGCATTGTGCTTTGGTAGTTTTCATATGAAACAAAGTCTCAGATTTCAAATTCTGTCCATTGTATTGCAGTATTTAAACAATAAATGCTGTTTTGGCGCCGTTTAATGTGGAGTGACAGATCGCTGTAGCGCCTCAGTTCAACAGACGCAGTAGTGCGAGGCGCACGTGAAATAATCATCTCCTCCACATTAATACCAGTTTCAGCACAAAATAAACATGACTAAACATCCGAAGGTAAGTTAAAAGAAAGAGTATAACTTTACAATCTGTATCCTGTCTCATGTAATCACTCAATCTGTGTTTCAGCCGTGCAAAGACTCCAATATAACGGCTTGTAAACAATATGTCATGTAATGTCACATTTATGTCAGAAAACACATTAGGTGACCATGAACTCAGTCAGATAGAATAATAAACTGTAGAGAGGGGCATTTTGCTTAATATATGCACAATATAACATATTCATTATAATTTGTACTGTTCTTCAATGTTTAATTTATGTTAGAATAAATCCATCAAGTTTTTATGATAGCCACCATTTAAATGTTTATATTAAAAAAACAACAACAAAAAAACAATTGGAGTAGAAATATTAATATGCAACTAACTTTATTATTGTAAAAACGTCATTAATTTTAACCTTCAATATTATAATAATGTTGTACCAACTGACTCATGTATATTTTACAGCATTAGTTGAGATTTTTTTTCCTTGAGAAAATTTGGCATGTACTGTACATAATATATATATATCCAAAATAATCTATTTTGAATCGAATCGAATTGGTAATCGAATCGAAAGCTTGTGAATGAGAATCGAATCGAATCGTGAAATTTGTGTCAAAACCCAGCCCTAGTGACATGGGTGTTTCGAATCACACTTCGAAGCAGTGGAGCAGTGTTTCGAAACATCTGCACTTCGGGATCTCGACACAGTGTCGAAACGTCCTTTTCACATCAGCCATCCCTAGTTGGAGGAAGTTTGACAAAACGGTTTATATTGTTTTACATATGGATTTTTTTTTAACAAAAATGCATCGATTCTCTACAGGAGGCCTTTATTCACCGGAGTCATGTGATGCAAGTTTTATTACTGATACTTTATTTAACTACTTTTGGACTGTTGAACAAAAACACCCGCCTACCCCAATTCTAACGCTTGGAAGAGTCAGGACGATTTTTAATATAACTCCGATTGGATTCGTCTGAAAGAAGAAAGTCATATACACCCAGGATGCCTTGAGGGTGAGTAAAACATGGTGTAATTTTCATTTTTGGGTGAACTAACCCTTTAATTCCTATTTATTTGATGCTGGCTGTGGCTCTCTACCTGTAAGTGCGGCCATGAAGCCTCCAGCGTGGGCTCGTCTTCCTCTGGGTCAAACTCATTACTGTCACTAGGAGGAAGAGTCCGAAAAATATTGTAGGACACCTGTGACAATTGAAAAGTGGGAACATTTGAGCTATCTCTGAATTATATAGGCATATAAATTAGACAACCACAGAAACTTTCCAGTCACATAGTGTGCTACTAATCTCACCATTTTGACCACCTCGGGGTAGGTCTGCTCAGTCAGGTAGCCCCGGCTGAGGGTGACGTAGTCCACCAACTCATTGAGGGTGGACCGCTTATACTCTTTCATTTTGAGGTCAGACAGCGTGTCCAAGAAGTCAAACAGAGTACAGCACTGCTGCACTTTCTTGAGAAATAGCTCTGGTTGCTCCTGCGCAGAAACATCTAGACAGACAGAAAGAAAGAGTTCATGCAAAATAATCCATGAAGTACTAAAATTCCACAAATGTTTTACATCAACCTCCTTGACTTTCCTACTGTAATCTGCCTCATTTCAGGACTGTTGGTAGGAAGCCTAAAATACTTCACACATTAGCTTGGAGGTCCATCTGGCATTTGACCTCTAAATATTCCAGCTGATAGGGACTTGAGTTTGAAAAGCCATTCAAGACACACGCATACATGTCCCATAACCAACCACTTACAGTGGCAATGTTCATGTAGTATTTGGCTTTACTGACCATATTTAAACACTTCACACAGACAGCATATGCTCACTTTTAAAGCAAAACATTAAAGAGGTTTGTTAAGTTTTACATCTGTAAAACAACAAACAATCTAAAACAACTGTTTTACTGTTCATAAATGTATTTAGATACTGTGTGGATGTCAAAAGTGTAATATGTTCATCATTAATGTGATGAAATATGCTTTAGGATAGCTGACGTTAAATATTTTAAAAAGAAACTGCTGTATAAAAGTATTAAAGATGCATTAAATTGACCAAAAGTGATAGTAATGACTATTACAATGTTTTCTATTACTCAAAGAATCCTGATGAAATGTATCATCGTTTCCACAAAATTATTAAGCAGCACAACTTTTCATCATTGATAATAAGTGTTTCTTGAGCACCAAATCAGCATATTAGAATGATTTCTGAAGAACCATGTGACACTGAAGACTGAAGTAATAATGCTGAAAAATAATTCTGTCAGAGGAATTCAATTTTAAAATTTTGAATAAAATAAAAACTACTTCTATATATAAATAGAAAACACTTATTTTACATTTTAATAATATTTCACAATATTACAGTTTTTACTGTGGTTATCTTCAAATAAATAACAGCCTTGGTAAGCATGAGAGACATAAAAATGGGACATGACACACTTAACAGAACAATCCCATCTTGAACATTTAGACTTTTCTTTCATTTGGTCACACAGCGACAGTTTGTTTGCATTTCAGTGTAAGGCTGCACGATAAAATTGCATGCGGTATTTAATGCGCATCTTATCAGTAAAGCCGGTTCTGTAATCAGCGGTAAATCTCCATCACGTGGTTGCTTTCACATTGAGCAGCATTAACTACACAGAGCTGTTGTTCACTGACGAGCTGCGCAAAAAATCGTGTGAATATGAACGTGGTTTTGCGCATCTCGTCAGTGAACAACAGCTCTGTGTAGTTAATGCTGCTCAATGTGAAAGCAACCACGTGATGGAGATTTACCGCTGATTACAGAACCGGCTTTACTGATAAGATGCACGTTAAACATCACATGCGATTTATCGTGCAGCCCTAATTCACTGCGTCACTTTGCTTTTTTGTTATTATAGTACAACCAACCTTATCAGCTCTATCAGACCAATAAAACCAGCAAAACACTCTGCCATCACCAACCATTAACTTCATCTGACCATGTAAACACAGCTTACCTTTCAGCAGAGGCAGCTGCACCAGCTCTATAGGCTTGTCCTGAGATCTGAACTGGGACGAGCTCTGTGCTCGCTTCTGCCTGGCTTTCCTGACAGACTTCCTGGAGAAGCCGTCCACCTTGTCCACCGACGGGGCTGTAGTGGCTGCTGAAGACATAGCCCTGTGCCAGAGAGAGTTTATAGGCAACAAAGAAAGAGGAAAACAGAACCGTCAGGAATAATGTGCAGAAAACCATTTTGAGATTTTGAAGCGTGCATCCAATGGGCAATTTACTATCCCATGATGAGGCCACAGGTGAGGGGTTGTGAATGGCAGTGAATGCAAATTCAGATGCTTGGCTTTACTGAGCAGCAGAATATTCAATCTAAATGACAAAAGCAAATAAGCTTCCTATGGAGGAGGCATTTTAAGGCATCATAGACACGCTCTAAATGAAAAGTCTGTTACGAATTAAAATCCTCATCCAGTCATGATCAGGACAGACGTGCACTCGAGCCGTCAAACTCTACCTGCTTTGGCCTTTCAAATTCAATGTTAGTAAACAGCGGTGGGCCATTACAGGTTAAATTGTACTAAGGCTGGTGTCCCTGAGGCTTCTCAGCCTTACGTAAGGGCTCAAAACACACCCACAGGAATGCCATGCACTGGGATTACCATGGGACGGATGTGACAGGAAGTGATGAGGCTTTAGTACTCCTCCCAGGCAGAGCAGGAAGTGGAGGAGTAGCAGAAGGAGGTGGGGACTTCACATTGTACACGTTTAGCAAGGCCATATCTCCACTAGAATGAGGAGTAGCAGAAGGAGGTGGGGACTTCACATTGTACACGTTTAGCAAGGCCATATCTCCACTAGAATGAGGAGTAGCAGAAGGAGGTGGGGACTTCACATTGTACACGTTTAGCAAGGCCATATCTCCACTAGAATGAGGAGTAGGTACTCCTCCCAGTCTCTCCAGGAGGAGGAGGAGTAGCAGAAGGAGGTGGGGACTTCACATTGTACACGTTTAGCAAGGCCATATCTCCACTAGAATGAGGAGTAGCAGAAGGAGGTGGGGACTTCACATTGTACACGTTTAGCAAGGCCATATCTCCACTAGAATGAGGAGGAGTAGCAGCATGTAACGTTGGACAAAATGATGAGCAACAAAAAATAAAACAAAAACCAAACAATGAAACAAAAAAAAAAACAATAAATAAATTAAAATAAATATCAAAAACAAAAAGCAAAACAGAAAAAACACGCAAACAATAAAAACAAACAAAAATAAATCATAAACAATAACAAAAATAAAACTAAACAAAAAGCAAAACAAAAAACACTAACTATTTTAATAAATATCAAAAGCAAAACAAAAATAAAAACACGCAAAGAACAAAAACAAACAAAATAGTAAACAATAACGAAAATAAAACAAAACAAGAACAAAACCCAAACCATAAAACAAGGGCAAAAAAACAATACCAAAACTAAAAACGAATTGGAAAATACGCTGGTTCTACCATGCCATGTTTTTAAATGCTAAAAAAGACTGCAATGAAGAAATTTAATGAAAACCATTCATCCTGAATAAGAACACGTTTTTTTCCCCCCCAACCACCATCTTTTCAGCTAAAATGTTAACATCCTGACACTTTGCTATGGTAGGAGCCGGATGGAGAGTAACAGACAGCTGATTCATTTCACAACAGGCGCAGATACTTTGTTCTCCAGAGTGTATCTACAGGGGGTCTATGGATGTGACCTTCTGTTCTGCCCTGTGTCCTACATTTTTGTACACGCATCAATTTCAGCTCCAGCTTACAAAAAAGAAACCTAACTGAAGACCAGAAAAAGGGGGCCATTAGTGTATCATCAGTTTATAAATACTCATAATGGATGATATTAAAACACACATTAATTAATTAACATTAATAAGAATAAAATTAGCAACCAGTATAACACTTTTTTTAAATCCACACTAAAATGCAAACATATTATGCATTACAATGCAAAGGCTTTTCACTTATTTAAATGACTGTACAATATATTACTGTATTACTGACCTGAACCTTCACTGGCTCAAAGTTAAAGATCTAGGGCCTTTCGCTTTCTTCTGGATTCCTGCAAGGGGTGTTGGCTAACAGAGACCTCACAGTTTCGGAGTTACACAGTTACAGAGTCCTCCAACAATGACAAGCAAACATCTACCAATTAAAAACCTCGTATCTGCTGACAAGGAAGAAGACAACTCGTCTGAAAGTTAGAGTAATGAAGACATAAGATATTCCCTTAAGTCTACTTATCTGGTAGTTTGAAAGTTTGCCGGTTTATCTGATCTGCCCTGGCCTGATATTGCTTGTGTTTCTTACCTACCCGTGTTGAATCTCCAGATTTGCTTTCTTTCAAGTTGTCAAAATAAAAGGCCTAATTTGCACAAAAACATGTGTTTTGCATATCCAGTGGCTATGATAAGCAATTGTCACTGGGTATACATCTAATTTTTTGTTTTCATGGGTTTAATAGAACAATAGGTAGATAACTAGATTAAAACTCTTTAAAAAAATTTAATTTTCAATGTACAATAACACAACTAAATGCATTCATTTTATGTAGTCAAACACTACTCATGCAACCCAATATAGACTTTCATGTTTTTCAATACAGTTTCAATACAGACTTTGTCATTTTACATCAAACAAATGCCCTTGCCGTCTAAAAAAAATGATGGCTAATTGTGTAACATACAAAGCAAAAGGGAACAATCTCCAAAACGAAAGGCCATGACATACATTTAAGCAAGATCTTATGCCTAAACACTCTTTGCTAATAAATTTCACAACTGAGTGTGTAACTGTCAGTTATCAGGCTGATAAATGTGAGGCTGCCATAACATCAGTCATAAACTAAAAGGACTTTGGAGGCAAAGCCACGCCATGTAGGGAAGTGTTTCTGCCATCCTTACTGCTGCTTGTGAATTGAAAAACAAGAACAAGTCGTTTAAGAAAAGTAAGTTACATTTAACATTAATCTCAACCCAAACTGTAATATAAAAGGTCACCAATCTGAAATTATTCAAAACATCAACTCAACTTTAGATACTGACAAGTTTTCAGTGATCTGTTTTTCATATGATGAGCCACATGTAGCCCATGGATGCCTTACCAAAACAGAGATGAACTTAAGACCACGAGACCCTTATGTAAAAATTAGCTTTGAAGAACAGCCGACTGCTTTTCCATCCTGCAGATGTGTTTACATTATGGTGACTCTAATATGGCCCTAGACGGCCTGCCAGTACGAGCCTGGGATTTAAAGTGCTGAGAAACAAAGCACTGCACACTTAACCACGGTCCAGGATTTATTCCCCATTCATCTAACAGTATTATAAATCAACGCTCAAGATACCAAGTTGTTTATTGGACGTTCATGGTTTCAAACACAAGGCCTTCGCATACATAAGAGAAGGACTGTGATGTTTAAGTCCATTAATTGAACATAAAATGTAAGCGCACCTTCTTCATTGACTGAACTATTAAACTTCTCACGCCATGTCAAGCCAGGAAATAGCAACTGAACAGTCAGGACTTGGACTTGGCTGTTTTAAAGCGTGAAATGTCATCTATTGAAGCGGTTTGGTTATACATTTACTTATTAAAAGTGTAGGATCATTGTTGTACAACATGACCCACATTCAGTTAAGCTTCGGCTCACAAACGGACACCTTGACGTCCTCACAACCTCCAGTAAAACACCCTGGCAAAATACAGAATTAGTTTTGTTGTGACTGTGCACAGTTATCCCATTTTTAGAGGCGGCAAAGGAACTCCAAAATATTACACCCCCTTACATCACGAACAGGACGTGGACACTGCCGATTTGTTTTTTTTCTCCAGACAACAGCAGTGCAAAGAGCGTGTTCTTCTAGGTGGTTGATTCGCTACAGAAACTGATGTGCTTACATATCCTGAAGTGTCCTGCTGGGGTTTTGTAACCTAAAATTGTTTAGCCTCTCTCTTGGACTTCGTTTAGATGATTCAAATAAAATTTTTAAAACATCTATATTTCTATGCCTGACCATCACTATACAACTATTTTTTGAGGGGACTAGTGGCAGTTCTCTTCCACTTTATGTTCTTGGTTAAATTTAAAAAAAAATTAAAAAAAGCAAACAACTTGTTGCACCATTTCTGTAAAAAAAAGAATTATGAATAATTATGAAATAATTATTATTTTAGTAATATTAATTATGTATGATGATTATTCCTAAAAAAACTACTATGTATTTCTTTCAATTGTATTCGGGAATTTTAATGGATATATTCAAACATTCAATTATTTTACAATGGTGAATAACCGGAGAGCAACAGCTGATTTAAGAACAAATTGAAAGCTCTGTATGACTCTCAGTGCAGACAAAAAGTGACAATCACATGTGAAAATCAGAGAAAGTGGAGAGGCAGCTTAAAGCATTACAGTTTTATAGTTCTCACTGGACTAACCAAATTTTGACAGGCACAATAACGATATTAGCTATGTTTGACTTTTTTTTTTTTTCTTTATCTAATAATCATGCAATTTCATTATCCAAAATACTATTTTGTTTCAAAATCTAATGGTTTAAAAATCTGCTGCGAAACACCTGACCGTATCGTAACGCTTTTCCAACATTTTCATGAGTAGCAAAAATGTTTTTGCCCCAAAGAAACCACTTTTAATAATACATCTCAAATTTCTCAAGCTTTGAATTTAAAGAACATACTGCGAGACAACAGCTTGAGTCTGTGTTTGGTTTATAAGGAAGGGCCCTGTAACATACAATTGACTCCTCTCATTGATTAGAACGCCTGACTCAAATTACAACCATTACACAGATGGTTGTCCTTTACATTGACACAATGTTTTTGACAAAGCGAACACTGGATCGGCGTTTATAAAGACAGCAAACTTTCCTTCTACATACTCCATTATGCTTTATCCAAAACATTTTTATGCATAAGACAGACTACAGACAGTTCTGGCAAGTCACTCACGTTGTCCAAGGTTTAACTACATTTTTGTTTCCAACACAAAGTGACTGGTATGATCTTGAATTGTGCTTTCCTTGACAGAAAAAAGTATGTCCTGTCTCAATATAAACACTACCAGACAGAAAACCAGGAGACCAGAAGAGTTCAAATCAGTGTGCCTGAAAAGTCTCAAATTGTCAGTCCGTGAAACGCATGACTGTGGAACAAAAACAGGTGTGGAGTATATTGCATTCCCAAGAGCTTGAAAGACAAGGCCAATAAACAAGACTGTTGACTTGGTAAAGCCAGTGTGCCGACGAAACATGCTACCAAAAATATTAGGGATGCACGATATATCGGCCACCATATCGGTATCGGCCGATAAATGCTCATTTTTTCTGTTATCGGTATCGGCCCAATAAGAAAATTTGGCCGATATCTTAAAGCCGATAAATAATGCATTATTTCCTTCAGAGACACTTCAGATGCGCGCTGTTCATTTGCAGCCTTTTGTGCAATTGTACGTTGTAATATTGTGTTTATTTGATGTATATCTGATTTATCTCATATAGAATGCGTTTGGTTAAGTTAAAAGAGCGCTTCAGTTTACCAGTGATAAACTCAAACAGCAGTGCACAACATTAATAACTATGATTGGGAATGTCGTGTATATAAAATTCTAATGAGAACATTATTATAATAAAACGTTGTGAATTCTTTGGGTTTAGTTGTTTGCATTGTGTTAAGGGTAAGTTTAGGGTAAGGGTATGTATGGACGGGTAGGTTTAGGGTGGTGAGTGTGATTTGACCAAGTACAACATGTTCCCGGATCAACATCATTCCAATCAACCAATCAGAATTGAGAGATAACTTTTCAGGAAATGTCAGTTTTAGGCTTACAATCAGGATTAGGCACTTCTACACCCTTGTTAATCAGCTATCATTTCCCTCTGATTTTAGGAATAAATTATGGGTAAAGTTAGGTTTAGGGATGGTGATTGGGTTAAGTCTGTATTTTTGGACAGTAATGTTGATCCAAGATAAACAAAAGATGTTGATCCAGGAACATGTCTTACTTGGCAAAATCACGGCGACCAGTTTAGGGTAGTGGTAGGTATGGACATTTAAAAAAAGGCCTCAAACCACATGAATAAGATGCTGGTAGCACAATCTGATAGGTAGCATTTTTCGCTATCGATTTGTGCTACCTATCTTTTTAATGGGAGGTAGCACAATCTGAGCGGGCAGCACAAATCGTCAGAACACCGGCAAAAACCAAAGAAAACCTGAAGGTGACAAACTCAACACTGATTATTTGCATTTACTCAGATTTGGAAAGTGAGTTGATGTTCTCATCCCATCAAAGGCTGATCAGACTGCCTACACAGGTGCCTAAGAATATACCTCAACATTTATGAAGAAAATATAATAATCACCACTGCACAGTGAACAACCGGTGCTCATTTCACAGCCTTATCCCATACCGATATGAAGAAGGCGTTTCTGAATACCTCAAATGAGCAAATACGTCAGAAACCGAATGACAAGATTGTAATCAAGGCACGATCGTGTTTAACTGCCTGTAAACACAAATCGACCTGAGAGGTTTTGATCTTTTAGAGTGCATACCGGTAGTTCTCTAGTTATAAATAATTGGCTGGTCAGTCTGCTTTAAATGACCGGACCCTTATTAGATATCACTCTAAAATCACTAGTAACTTAGCAATGCAGTGCTTAATTGTGTTTCTTACCTCTTTCGATGGTTCTCGGGTCCAGGTGGCTCGTTTTAAGCAGCTAACCTTGTACTTGCAGGCGACCCAGCTAACGTTAGCCAGCTAACTCAAGCGCTTCACTATCGGACTATTTAAACCGGTCTCGGCTTTGGAATACAGTCCGCGTATGAATGGTGACGATTTTTCCGACTGAAGTCACACCAAAATCCCTGTCTGTGAGATAATTAGAAAGCCGTCTGAAGGTATGTCAGCATTGCACTGCTAGCAGGAGCTCCCCGTGCAGCTAATCCCTGTAGCTGCCGTCCCAGCCTGCACCAAAAGCCACATTCATACACATTCACTGACCGACTACATACACCCAGATGTTGGTCACTAAGGTAAGAATGTCCTTCTCCTTACTGCTAAACTCACTCAAATGGCGACTAATTGCTAACCTGTTATCACAAGTATATGTTAGCAGGCTGTGCTAGTGCTCTGTGCCAATTTTTTCCTGGCTCAAAACAGACCGCTAAACCGAGCTTGATGAACCGCTGGTTTATGCTGTTAGGCCAATGATTGGTTACTCGTTGCACAACGAACGCGTGGATTGGTCGGTGGACTGTCAATCAAAAACTGTTTAGGCACGCCTCGAAAGTCAAACGTCATTGACGTCGAGGAGCTATGGAGGTAGGTTGCGGCGTAAATGTCTGCGATGGAGATTGGATGAAGACAAGGACCAGAAATGCCCGTATGGCGAGAAATGTCACCCGAGCTGTGGTCCGCTCGGTCTTCGCTGGCTCTGTTTTCCTCAAATGAGTCGCATTACAACAAAGTAATTACGCGTATAACGCCATAGACTACTAGACGAAGGATTCCACTAACGTTTCCTATTCTTAGAAAAGGATTCGGGGGATTTTTCCCCTCTTCAGTTACAGAGTCCTCACTTGGAACACGCTGTTACATAACTTAAATGACACTGACCAGTGAGGATGTTCCACCTCGTTCATTTATTCATTCACCCTTTCATCTACTCGTTCTCGTTCTCAGCTGTGAGACAATTTAATGCTTCCGTTCCAATTACATGTTTTACTAACATGATTATTAAATTAAAGTACAGTATGTGCAATAACCTTATAATTATTTATCACCCTAAACCCTAGTACATCCCTACAACTTATTTTATTTTATTCTATTCCTATTCCATCTCTACCACACCTGTACATACAATTTAATCTTTTTTTGTGGTTTATATTTATGCATGTGTATTTTATTCACATCTAATTTTTATTATCTGTGTGTTGTTGTTGTCTCCGTGTACTGGAAGCTTGTGACACTATAACAAATTCCTTGTATGTGCAAACATACTTGGCAATAAAGCTCTTTCTGATTCTAAAGCTCGTTCTGATTATATAGTTGGTTGTATAGTTATGCATAATGGTTAGTCTCTCGACCAATGTACATTTTGAGTTGCGCTGAATCTCAGCCTCGAACTTCCTCTGAACTATGTAACTGGAGCATAAATAAATCGTTTAAACCTGGGAAGACGGTTTTAAGGATACAACTCTGACAGTTCAGTGGCCTTTAGTGATGATAGTGTTGTTAGTAGTTTGGTATGAATGGGTGCTTTTGAATTAATCTTTTAAGTAATGGAAGGATTCCATTTCCCTCACGAATCTTCTTTTTTTAGATTTGTAGATGGGCATTTTTTTTACTAAAGTGTAATGAAACAAGGAATCTGTCACTTACAACTCACAAAAGATCCTCTAGTCGCCACCTACTGGTGTAAAGCCGCAGAAGAGGTCATTGCGCGAATCAGCAAACAAATCGTTTTGGAGAACCGGTCACTGAATCAAAATTGCCATCACTAATGACTTTTGCGGATCATCTTCTGTAAAGATCAATTCTTAAATTGTTTTTTGCAGTGAACTACACCATTTCAAGATAATTGCATTAATATTTCAGTTTTCAGTACTTGAGAAGAGTTCACGGAGAATCCATTCCACTGTTCTCCACGATGTACTTTGTACGTTACTACCACAGGATGGCGATAGATTACCTTAACTTTGTTCCTGCCATTCTCAGTGAAGATTCTTGCTCAGTACGAGATGATCAAATATAATATGTTTGATAAAATACGAACACAGTTCAACATTATTCCCGGGGAAATGACTAATAAAATGTCCATTTTTTTTATTCAGGTAAGCCTAATGTTTTAAAAGCATAAATGTTCCATGTAGTCCATAAATTATTGTGAGGTCATAAAACTGCATTCATTTTTTAGATTTGGGGGGAAAAGTCACTTAAAGTAGTTTTAGAGCAAGCACAACATGTCACACTAGTAGACTCTGATGTCACTGCTTTCATGTCAGCTACCCTCCGAATAAATTAGATTTTTTTCTTTTGCAGTGAATGTGAAAAAAACAACTTAAGCCAATATACTGCAGTACATAGAGCCTAAATGTGTGTAATTTACAATTAGCTATAGTGTGGAAATATATGTACGGTGGGAAACGAGCAAGGTCCTCTAGCACTTACACAGTGGATTAAAATCAATACATCATGCAGAAAGTAGACCTTTGTCCAAAGAGCTGACAAATTGAGAAATGAGTATGTGTGCCTCTGAACCTTGCTGGATCAAGATAACAGAACACGAGCACACTTACACTGATAAGAGGAAACACTGCAAGCCAAGTATTTAGTTAGTCATAATCAAAAAGTAATTTTGAAGCATAAACATCAAACATAATGCTGTAATACAAAATGTTCATACTCACCAGTGATCGCTTTGTAATGGAATTGTTTTAATTAAAAAACATACCCATTTCAGATGACAAGAACACAAATACAGTGGTAATTCATACTGGTTTTTTATTCACGGTAATAATAAGAACAGAAAAATGGCAAGAACATTGCAGACGAGGAGCCATAGGTTACAGATACACTACATGTGCGAGTTAAGATGACCATGAACGGCTCAAAATTCAGCACAAGTAAGGTGTACAAGCTTCATTCATAATGCATTTCAATGCAACCCTAAAACACCATCCAGCCGTCTGTGATATGATATCCACTTCAGCTCAGTGCACTGTAAAATAAAACGGCTTATTCATAAATGGTACATTTACTATATGCACAACTGATCACAATTGAATATATGCACAACTGTTTCCTTTATTTATACTGGTGCACAGATAAATTTGTCACCTTCAAAATATGTTACCAGAACCCCGTTAATAAATTCCACATATAGCACATTAAACAAATCTGTAGATACACACCATATGTAAGGGGGGGGGGGGGGTTAAAAGAAAAGCTTTCAATTACATAAAAAATG